AGGAAAATCACCTACGAACCAACCGCTTCAGTCATCCAATTTGCGGGCAAATGGGAGGATATGCGACTACAGCACCACTAATCCATCGTGGCAATTCCACTAAATCTAGAGTTTCGTCCTTTTGAGAGTTAGCTACCCCTATCGTATGACTATCGCTAGTCGTAAAAACACTGGCCTGAAAGCCGAGCCATTTAATCAAAGACGGGTTTTAAAACGACTTCGTGGGGCTGGGATTCGCATCTGTCCCCCTTTCCCATTTTGTTATAGCTTTATTGCTGCGCGGTCATATCTCTGAGTTCTATCCAGCTGGCAGGGAGGTGGAGGAGGTATCTCGTGCTCACTTAGTAGACAACTTCATACAAGTACCGTTAGACGGTAAGGTAACAAATTTTTCAAAATGGCTCACCAGCTAGTTAATAGCATTCCTGCTAAATACGGGACTGGGGTGGTTGTCAAAGGTGAACATTATTTTCGGTCCTTCTGTTGGAGGTCGTCACAGATTCTCCCATCCATGCCATATACCCTCCTTCCGTCACGTTGATGTTTAGTCTTCCACAGTAGTAAGCAGCGTAGTGGTCCCTTAGAATCTGATTCGCTTTCCGTTGCCACCAATATAGCGCCCCAAGACTGCCCTGAAGACTAAAGAAGGCATTATGCTTTGGCAGAGTATGTATCACCAGCGTACGGAGGGGCTGGGGCTGGGGTCTACTGGCTTGACCCGGAGGCCATGCCGCCCAGCAGAGGTACCAAGGTGGAAGCTTAGGTGCCCGTAAAACCAATGCAATCAAAGTATCACACTACATTCTCTCATTGTGATTGCCTTAAAGAAATAGCAGACGTGCTTTTGGGATGGATCGCTGAAGTGACTATGCCAAAATGGCGCTACTAAGTTTTTTTTTTTAAGGCAATCTTCCTTGGTCTAGCGTGGGTTCCGATAGGAGCGAAATACATAAATGAATGTTTCTGATACTGCCCACCTGAAATTATTTCAACTCCATTGTTTTTAATGTAATCTAAGTCAGGTATGTCGGTTGGTTAAAATTAGAAGTGAACTTTCCCTATCTGAAAATACCTATGCAGTAGACAAATGAGTTTACATTCTCCTAGGGAGCTTAGGAAACTGGAGTTGCTTACCCTGCCAATTACCTCTTTCGCCTATTCCGACTTCCTGTATGATACAGAACATTGGTGATAGGCTACTAGTTGTCAGTCCTCTTTGATTTACAGGCATTCTCGATCAAAAGACGTGGAATAGTAGTAATTTTCCCTTAAATCCCTTGACATAGGTATTTTTTAAAGTGGTAATACGACTCAGCTGTAGCCACAGCAATTACCCAGTGAAAACAAGTCTTTTAACAATAAATTTTTTATGTGGTTTGAATAATTTTAAACTAAAGCGCCACACATTTCTTTCAAACACAGCGACTTTTGCATAAAATATTGGAACCCAGAGGGGATCTTCAAAATTTCCGGAAACACCAGTCTCACTAGCAGGGACGCCTGTATTACCAGAAAAATTTTTTGTTCAAGTATCTACAATTTTTCAATTTCGTGAATATTTTCGTAAACAACTTAGAAACCACCTCCCCCCAGTCCCTCCTAATTGGCTGAAATTGCGTCGACTGCACTTTAGGCGATCATTCTTAGCCCGAGGTCGATCAGCTGACCGGATGATCCAGACTTGGAACGTAGCTCGAATGTGGGGGTCAGGGGGTCTCTACTGGTCAAGTATTTACACGCAAGTCACATCTCTTGCTGACTCACCCATAGGATCCAGGCGACAAGGGCACATGAGGTCAGGTCATGAAACTAACCCGCCATTTCGGCATTTCATTTGCCCTCACCCATGGGCATATCAAAAGTATCTTATAACAGTGCTTTTTACTATCCATATCAATGGTTTAGTTGTAAACAGTGCCTTAATTACAAATCCGAAATTTTGGCATGAAAGGTGAGGTTGGGGCTCTATGCTATTGTAATGGGGGGGGGGGGGGGGAGACAATGAATACGTCCACTCCATTTTAATAACTTTGGTATTAGACCGTCAAAAAAAATAAGGATTCAGTTCGCAACCACAATGCATGAAGATGCCAAATACTTCTCTTACGTCAAAGTTACGCCCAGAGGCTACCACCTCCACCACGTTAGAAGTCAGTTTAATAGCGATTTAATTTGCATAAATTCGTGACCGTCCACTACGTACCATTAAAAGGGCATCTTTACTAGAATAAGTGTTCAGCTTTTGATTTTTAGTTCCTTTTCATCTAAAGCATCGCAGTAGGATTTGAAATGGTTATGAAAAGAATTATTAGCCTTGCAAATTTTTAATTCTCAGAGATTGTTGTTAAAGATGGCTGTCACATATATGTGACGCCCCGTTTTTTTAATCGAACTTCGCATGTTATTTGTCAAGTTATAGTCAAAAGCTGAAATAAATCGCGTCTCAAACAGATAAATTGGGATGAAAGCAATGTAGGCTGTTTCTGGTTTGAGGATAATCCAATTTTTTTATCTGGCAGACAGTAGTTGAGTCGGTCAAATAACTATGATAGTTGATATCATGTTATAACGATGGAGCACTTGGATTGTGACTGTTAATTTGTAATACCTAAATTATTTGTTTAACTCTTCCTCCCGGTTTTGAGGACACTTAAAGCACCACGATTGTTCTTCTACTGAGGAGCACGGCGTCCAGGACACGCCACTAGCCCAAGAATTGCGCCTCTTTTTGTTCTCAGGAGTGACTCGGGGCACTGCAGATCTTCCTCTGAGAATTTGCTATCAAACATTGAACGCAAAAACATTCCAGTAGATCTTTTAGCTACCAAAACTTCGACAACGGTGATTAAACTCGAAAGGAAGTCAGCAGCCCAGATAGCAGAAGCTTTAGGCTCGCTTTTTAGTTTCTGTTTATTACTACTATTTAATCAAGTCACCTTTTTGCAATCTGGCCGCGAACGCTAGATATTTCCACGAATTTCATAATCTGAATTTAGACAGCAAACCTCTGCGATTCCCTGCTTGTCACTACTTTACGTATTTAGTTCGACAACCAATTTCATCAATGTCACTAATTATTGCCGTGGCTAAGTAAATGATTATTTTATGAAGCAGAAGCGCTAGAAATTTGTCCCTCACCGCTAAATCCACTATTGAGATTGCTTAATATTATATTTAAAATCATTTTGATGCGACTCATGAAAGATTGGTCTATTTTCAACTGGATTTATTTTGTAGCGCCCGAGGTCTTGCAGAAGGGTTGAGAGGCTATTGGCATAACTCGGAGACTACGCCGCCTAGCAGAAGTACAATGCTGGGGCATTAAGTATCTGCGTCAATAAAACGAGGAGTTAAACAAACAAAGTAACGAAAATCATCCCTTGTTCACTAGCCATGGCCCATGCATCGCCAACAAAGTTGGCCGTTAGTGCCTAAATTCATTGTGGAGATCAAAAACTAAGTTCAATGAATTACAGAGACTTGGACAAAGCAGACATTACTTCATCCCCAGGGAAGGAGAAATCTTGAACAACCGGTATCGTCTGGTATCACTAGAAGTTGGGTTTGCATCAAGTAGATCATTCAATAGCCAAAATGGTGATAAACGGAACACAAATGAAGTGTAAATGTTCGGAAGCATTCTACTGCCAAGTATTGTCCAGGCTGTGCCACTACTTCACAAATGAACCACCCAACGACAGACATTTAACAACGAATTCTACATGCGATTAGGAACATTCTCACCGTGATGCAAATTCATAAAACCATCTGTACTTCTTTCTCGTGGGTCTTTTCAAAGTCGCCCACGACTATTGCGGAATTTAACGCAGAGAGCTGTGGCAACTCAGAACTGCAAAGGCAATGCTTGGAGCAGGAAGAATCACGTGCTTCTCTTCTTATTATGATCATGTAGCTTAATTTTTTCCATGCGGCTACAGCAATTTCTTCCAGACCATTAATTAGATAACTTCTTTAGACATACACCGGATCACAACTGCATGATAGAACAGATGAATGTTCTAGCTGTTGTTAGCCGTTTCCAGAGAATAGGAAATTGGTTACATTGCAAGGTGAATCAAGGAGAGTTAGAATCAACAACGGTTGTGCAGAAGGCATATGCAGCCACCTGTAATGCCTTCGAGTAAGGCCAGTTGTTGCATTGGTTCCGTAATGGTTAGTGCCAATCATAACATTTGTGATCGTCGTCAATCGCCATAGTGCTTGCGAATATTCACTCCTTGGAAAGAGATTTGTTCAAGCTGGTTATATCTGTTTGAAAATTTTACTAGATTCCCACTACAAATTAGGCCAACAAAAGCGCTCTCTAAAAAATGAGAATCTGAGCAAGTTACTAGTTCTAGCTAATTCGGTTCTGAAACCTCAAAGTTAGAACAGCTCGACTTGATTTTGCTGAGTTTAACCATAGGAGACGGCAGTTTGAGTGGACTTTCCTAACCGACCACTGCCTTTTTAAAAGATAATTTTGCAACAGTTTCACCTACCTTGACGCAAGAACGACATATCTGCAGATGGGACATTTTTGACGAGGCCTTGATTACCGTCGAGAGATTAAACTCGCTCCGCCTTCCCTGCGTTTCAATAAGTTTCATCAGAACCCCCACATCGTTAAAGACCTGAAATAGTTTCCTCTTCATTATAATGCCCTCCATCACACTGCTATTGCTGATCAACACACCGATTTTCGCTTCAATAGTTGCTTGTTACAAGGACAAAATGAAGACTCCTGTGAAGGAGAGCAGCTCGCAAACGGTTTTTAAATGAAAAACATTTAAAGTGAGAAATCCCGTGCGGCGTAAAACAATTTCATGGCGAAAGCTTTTCACTGCAAATGACACAGCCAGGTTTCGCTTCCCAGTAAACAAGCAACAATCAGCAACGCGTGAAAGGAGACGAGAATTTACCGGAAGGAAAAATTAGCAAATTAAACAGGAATGTCAAGTATTAATAATTCTAATGATGAAAGCGGGGCTCGACACAAATCAAAGATTCTTCTTATCTTCCGGTTCCATGGGAGGTGCGGACGCCTGACTGTAGGGTGGAGCGTAGAAGGTATTGGGATCAGATGGATAGTAATACCCGGTGTTAACTAAAAAGGAGCGAAATTGAATGATGGCCACTTTTGAGAGGGTAGCGCCATGGAAGGATACATGCATCATCAGCACACAAGTTTCATTTAATCGGGGTTCAAGACTAAGCCCATTTAAAGAGCAAGACCGTATATGTGCTTTTTGGTAAACGGTAATAGGTAAACTGGCTCCCGTAGCGAAGTGTGGTAGGAAATGGAATCCTCCTTTTTCTGGATTGAAAAGATACTGACTTAGATTATCAAAACAGAATTCCGCAAGATCATAAAAAGGGGGCATTAATATCACACGAAAAGCGGAGATATTACAGCTCATTTCCTTCATTTGGTCAGTGTAATAGATGGAAGAAAAATAAAATAATCCGCAAATAAAACCATAATAATCTGACCAAAAGCCCAATAGTCTGGCGGAAAGACACATTGGAAGTTAAATAGTCAACAACTCGGTTTCATCCAATATTCAAATAGCCCTAACTTGTAGATTGGTACTTCAGCTATGCTCACCGAAAAAAAGTTAAATTTACCCGATTCGAAGAGATTAGCGTACGCAAATGGCATAAATACGTTATTTGTAAAAGTATGCTATCAATAAAACCGCCTCCTACTCATCAACGTGTTAGATGGATGCAATTTGAAATCTAACATGGCTAGTTTAAGTGCATTTATCGACAAAAAACCGGCCAATTAATGAAACTATTACCATCATTTACAGTCTGCTATTATTTTACAAATAGCTATGTGACGAGTGCATTCGAGATGCTCGTGAAATAATCATGACAACTAGTGTGAAGGGTCATACACAGTAACAACAGCAACCACTACAATATCTAGCTCGACACATACCACAGAAGTCAATTACAGTCACCTGCAAATAGTCAAGAGGTAATGCATTATCAAATGCACGCACAAGACAGCAATGCAAACCAACATTTTTGTTGTTTCTAAGCAAAAGTACTTGCCACACCAAATACTACAGGGTAATGGCTACCAAATATATCAGAACTTGTAGGATTTTGAAATCACAACCAAAAACACAATATCTAGGTGGCAACTGATCGAAGACGTTGAAAAAAAGCACCGGTACGATATTTGCTAAAATAGATCGCGCTGAAGTCACTGATAGAAAATTACATTAAATAGTTCGGAACGATAAAGAAGCGTAGTATGACATACGACTCCAGCTCGTCAATTTAAGGTTTGCTCATTGGGTGAGGAATATTCTGAGAGCCTATAAAGATCTAGTAAAGTGGCAAGATCATAAGCTAGTACGTGAGCGCCAAAACGACCCTACACACCAACTCTTTGTCCCCTATTCCACACTCTGAAGCCGATGTTTTCATCTTCACCAAGTTTGGAGACGCACTAGGTCCACCTCCTGAAGTAATCAAACATACCAGGTGGCGGGCCGCCGACTGGGTAAGGCGGCATCGGACTCGCCGCAGTCGCTGTGTATGGTGGCGGTGGACCCGGATTCGGTGTGTAAGGCGGAGGAACAGCGCCGGGATAGGGCGGTGGAGAGTTCGTCTGATACAGAAACTCAACTAGGAGGAAAAGAGAAGGATATGGGTTTTAGAGATTCCCACGCAGAAGTATGTATAAAGCCCAATCTAACCTGGTGGCGGAGAGAAAGAAGGATGCACCTGCATAAATGAGTTGTAGTAGGGGTCGTTCACGAAAGGCGTGTAGGCCGGAGGAGGACAGGCGTAAATTTCGCAGAGTGGTGGGGCAACGGGAGTCTCGTATGAGTTCTGTAGTTTGGAAGCTCGAGTACCGAGCTCAAGAAGGCTCTTTCCAAATTCAATTGCTCCTCCATGGTTGAACGCTAACTTAAAGGGCATCTCACCCTGTAAACATAGGAAATCAGAAAACCAATACCTGTGGCAACGGAATTCATCGTCCAGTTAGGTGTCAGCTTACCGCCCACTGGCCTGATTCAGACAACACAAAACCTTCAATGTGGTTGGGTCCAAACGTTGGCTGCTTGATTGCTACACGTCTCATATAGATGAAGGCCATGCTCAGTGAATTAAGTGTCGGACTTTTATCTTTGGAGAGGAATATCACCTAAATTGTAAGTGAACAAGGATTCAGTTACTCGATGTGATGTAAGATACGCGGTTCCTGAGTACCTCCCATTAGGCTGCTGGCCCGAACCGGAAAGTGTAAGCTTACATCCATCATATGTAATAAGAAGTCTGAGAAAAGGATGGGAGAGAGAGACGCCTCACCTTTCTCCGTAAAAGAGAACTACTCCTAATCCATCTTGTGTGTGAGCTGTATTAATTGACATGGCAGCCAACACGGAATACGGACCAAAACATAAAACACTAAAACGAAAACGGTTACGTGTCGTCAGAACAGAAAAACAAACAATATGTTGAATAAAACCTCAAATGCACACCACAAACATTGAATAAATTTAAAATGTTTTTTAAATACAAAAATGATAACTGCAAAATAATGTGCAAAACGTTGAAAAATATTTGTTCACATCAAGATGCGAACAGATTAACTTTACATGTTCAAAAAAACGCTTTTACTTGAAGCAAAAAAGTTTGTAACCACGTTCATTAGCCAATGTGGTCACAAGATCTAGCTTGCAAAAATCAGCTGTGGATCAGCTTCAAATCTGATTAGTTGTCCATGATTCAGGAATCAAAATCTCCTTCCTTAATTACTAGCCACTGCGTATTGTTCTACTTCCCTGCAATTTTTCAGGGCAGCAGCTGTGATGTTTCGAGATTTCCTTAAAGACGAGAGAAGACAATTCTCGGGCCGAATACACTTATTCGACATGCAGAAGGTATTTGGGCAACTGGCATAGCCTGAAGGCCAGCCCACCCGGCGTGATACAACGGCCAAGTCAAAAGCAGCCCTTTACCAAAACCAAGCTTTAAGCGGCCATCGTATCACATAGCCCCTCTCCTCTTTTGAGAGGCGTCTTCGGCGCTCCCCTCGGTCAACCTCCCACGTCAACAATCACAACGTTGTCGGTGTTGTGAGGAAACACTCACGATTGCACCGTGCCACTCACCAAACTTTTATGCAGCTAGGGAGGTACACGACTGCAACGTCACTGATCCCTCTTGGCAATTTGACTGGATCAGGAATTTCGTCCGGTTTGGGAGCTGGGTTCAGGAACGGGGAATTGTACTGGCCATCTTGAGTGTCCATGGATAGACAAAAGGACACTGGCCCAAAAGTAGATTTGGTAGAGATGGATGGGATTTTGCACGGGTTTGTAAGGGAAAAGTTTTGCGTTTGTTCCTCATTATCAAGTTATTCTCACTTCGGAACTACTAGTCACATCTATCTGGACTCTACCCATCTAGTCGAGAAATGGAAGAGGTATCGCGAGTTCTGTTTATCGACAACTTTATGCAGGAACGGTGTAGAAAGTCTGCAACGAAACTATTCAAGATGCTTCACGGCCAGTGCCACTTCAGTTGTTAATAACTTTCCTGCAGAACAAAGGGCCGAATTAGTTGCCGAGAGTTGACGTCAATTTTGTTCTTCTGTTTAGGGTCATCGCCGATTCCCCAATCCGTAATATAGGTACTTCTTCCGCCCCACAAAGTTTGTCACACAGTAGTGGGAATCTTGATAGATATTTTTCGGCATTAAGTTCGCTTTCCGTTACCATCAATGCAGCGTTCCAAGACTTCTCAGAAGACGAAAGGAGACGGAATACTCAGGTAGGATGCATATGTTTGACATGCAGAAGGTATTAGGGCTACTGGCGTGGGCTGAAAGTCAGCCCACCCGGCTTGGTACAGTGGGCAAGTCAAAAATGGTCAGGAGTTAAATAACCGCCGTACTACAGCCGTATTTGTAACCTTAATAACAAGGCATGACAAAATTTACTAATTGTATGTATTAATACAACACATATTACAACTCTAATTTAAACTACATGTATGTTAATTTTAGTACAGATCTTTGGCTAATAGTGAAATCGAGCAAAAATCGAGAGCAACATCATTCCTACATGTCAATAAGTCACGCAACACAACTACGAAAGCAGTTGGATGCCTGTTTGTGTGTTTAAAAGAAGTGCTACAGGGCTGAAATTCTACCACTGTTACACTAAAAAAAGCATAATTCATTGGAAGTTACAATATTAAGATTAAAAACATCCACTTATGCTGAACATGGGTTTAAAACGTGTGATCAATAAGTGGAATAAACAGTTCCACCGTGGTGCTACTATCTACGCGAAATCCGAACTTTGACTGTTAGCTGAAAAAATGGAAGGAGATTGATTGTAGCCACTTTAAATTCTTGTGGACTCAAACACATTTTCATAGGTCTAATACACTTCAAAGCCAAGGAATTTTTCCTTTTAAATATGCTTAGTGAGGAGCAGAATGCCATACAAAGGCCCAGTGCGTAGCATCTGAATTATTTTTAAATAATAGAAAGAGTAAGAGCAGCTAGCTGTCTATTCATTCAAGTCAGATAAATAAAGAGTTAATTAATACGCCAGAATCAATTCAGTGGATTTTATCCCGTTTGTCTGTCTGTATCGCATCGAATTATCTAAAAATGGTTGTTTGGGTGACCTGCACAGTGCATTTTGTAATACGCGCATTATTTGTGTTTTTTTGAAGAGCTCACCAGCCCTTGTGATTGTTTAAATTACTGGAGGTTATGTCCATCTGGCCTCTTCAAAACAGCGTCGTAGGTTTGTCCTTACACAAGGTGGACTGTACCTGAATATTGTCAAAGTTTAGTGCAATGGAACTCTTGGGTCCTTCTAATCGCTACGATTTTATTGTTGCTAAGAGATGGAAGCTCATACGGAAAATTGGGGCTGGATCTTTCGGCGACATATATCTTGGTCTAAACATCGCTAATGGTGAAGAGGTTGCTGTTAAACTGGAACCCATGAATGCCAGACATCCACAACTGGTCTATGAAAGCAGGATCTATCGCCTTCTTCAGGTACTGTATAACTGCAACTTCTCATATTTCACAGAACACTTTTGCCGTTCCTCGAATACACTGGTTCGGCTCTGATGGAATGAAGAACGATTACAGAGCCTTGGTGATGGATCTCCTGGGTCCAAGTCTAGAAGACCTCTTTAACTACGTTGGTCGAAGGTTCACCATGAAAACAGTTCTCATGCTGGCTGAGCAAATGCTCTGGCGTGTTGAATATGTTCACTCTAGAAATCTTATCCATCGTGATATTAAACCGGATAATTTCCTGATGGGAATTGGCCAAAGATGCAACAGACTATTTCTAGTTGACTTTGGCCTCGCCAAAAAATACAGGTTTGCTTTTCTATTGCCTAAACTGGTGTCATCATTTAGAGACAGTCGCACAAAGGTGCATATACCATTCCGGGATGACAAGAATCTTACCGGTACTGCCAGATACGCGAGCATTAACGCTCATGCTGGCCATGAACAGTCAAGACGCGATGATATTGAGTCTCTGGGATATGTATTTATGTATTTTCTTAGAGGTCAACTTCCATGGCAGGGCTTACGGGTGAGTGATTTTACATATTTTTACCTATATGCGTTTATTCTCAAACATAGTTTAAAAACTACAGACCATGTAGCCAAGTGTTTATACATTAGTCTGTTTATTTTGTGGGTTAGTGGTTAGCGTTTGCGTCAATCTTCGCATTTACTGCCATTATGACATCGGGGTCACGCAAACTACTTAGCAGTGATAGATGAGATGCCTTTCTTTTTTATTGACGAACGTTTATCTTATCTGATCATTCATTTGATTCGTCTTTGTAAATGAAAACTAACCCTACCTTTGATACACGATTGGCTTCTAAGCCCTTTTGGTTCTCCTATTTCTTCGCCTCGCTTAATTGGGTTGTTTTTGTTTATCCCTTATTCACTATTTGTGATTGAAGTTCCAGACTTATGATTTTGTTAGAATAACCTTCGGTACCCTGATAGTACGCTTACATTGCTCTTTATTTGGCAAGCACAAAGTGGCTAGCAGCTGTGTGACAGCTATTAAACTCCACTGCGGCAGTTAAAAAGTGCTTTTGAGAAATGATAAGAGCGCTCGCTCTGTTTTATTGTCAAATGTTTTATCAAATTAAGACTGATCCCAATGTTTTTAAGTTACTCTCTTCGGACGATATATCCCTCTTAGAGGCTGCATTTATCCTAGTACTATCTTGATTTGAGAAGGTTTTGCTAATTTTGTTCATCGCTGTTGTTCTCTTGTTTGGTCCACACCAGTTCTTTTGCCTTTCAATGAAGAGAGCTGTATGCCAGCGGTCTCCTAGACAAGGGCAGGGTGTATCTACAAATTGATTAATTTAACCTAATGGTTTTAATGCACAGTCTGGCCAAACAGTGACTTGTTACTTTTTGATTACGTTCACTGCAGTTAGGGGCTCGGCTTTGGGGGGGTTAATACTTGGCCACCGTCTAACTCACTTTGTCGCGCTATTGGCGGTTGTGTCTACACGTCCATCCCACGCCATGGCGCTTACAAGTTCTAGGTTTTTTAGAATGCAATCCCAATGCCTTTGCTTGATTATCTCTGATCGCTTAACACTTTAATCGACTACTCTCGAACGCTTTTTGCCTGATTTTATTGAGTAAATGTCAACGGCGGTGTTACCGCTAAAAACTCACTGTTTTCTGTAGGGAATGTTTAGGATTTATCGTCAATTATTGGGTTGTTGCCGTTTTGAGTCCGTGCTGTAGTGCTAGAGTCAATGCATTGAAATGTTGTGATAAAGGCCGCGTCAAGGAGTTTTGGCAGTCATGTTAATGGCCACTTGTATGACATCAGAAAATCGGTAAACTCTTGTCTGTTAGTCGTACAGCATATTTTAGGAGTTGAGGATCGGTCTGGTCCTTGTATTAGCCAAATGTCTCGAATGTAGATATTTGTTTAATGTGGAAAAATGTTCTTAAAAGGGGATAATTACATTTGTTGTTGTGTTTTTAGTCCGGATTAGCTGCGCAAAAAAACCCATGCGATGTGGGGAAGTAATCAACACATGCACACATTTCCATCCACTGGGAAGAACCCCCATTGTTTTTTTATTCACACATCTGAGTTTTTTTGCTACCGAAATAACGGCTTAATGATTATGGAAAGGGGATATTTTTGGTTGATTCAGATGCCTTGGGGGAGGGCCTTTGAATTCCGATGCCAACCCACGCACGCTCATCACACTGCCATTCGCCACACTCAGCTGCCGAGTTAGTCACGCCGCATTGCGCATCACTGTTGCAACCGTCCCGAACATATCGTGTTGTTTAAACACGCGTCAGCTGGCTGTGCTCGGAACTCGTGTTTCTGCGATGACAGACTGACGTGGCTGCCATGATGCCGTTAGATTTTAAGTGTGGGGTTTAAGGTCAAAGCAGTTTTATTGTTGCGTGTTTCATCATTGTAGGCAGCTAAAATTTGACTTGTATCGATTGGCAGCTCGGGTTGATGAGTGAAAAATTGTGGAATCGGGGGGGGGGGGTGGTTTTGCAACATTTCAGTAGCCAATGCTTTTCCCACTTTCACAGCTATTATATTTCGTTGCGATTATTGTGTAGTATGCAGATGTGAATTTTTTGGTAGATCGAGTATTGTTCTGGTTAGGAGAATTGGTCTGCCCCAAGGTTTTTTAGTTCCTTAATAAAGAGCCCTATCGCTCACTCCGTAGGATTCGATCCGAGTGCTGTCTATCCTCGTGTTCACCAGCCAGAAGATGGTAGTTCAATGGTATGCTAGTTGTAGGGTCGGATTTGGTTTCACATTTTAGCGTGTTAATACGTTTCATTTTACCACACATGTAAGTTTAGCGATCACATCGTTTCCAACGCATTCTCTCCTGTTTATTTTGTTGGCTTGGCTTGGGCACCCAGTGCTTTTTTACCCTAGTATGGTAAGTTGATCTTGGTAGTTTGTTTACGGTGTATTCCTTCGCTTTCGCTACAATTCTCCCGTGTAATCGAGTTGTGAATACGTTTTTCCTCAGATTGTTCGATTGGTCCACTTTATTACCAAGTCCCAAAGACATCAATTTGTAGTCTTGGTGCTTGGAGAAACAACGTGTTTCATAGTTAGTGGTCCATGATATTAATCAATTGTTTTCTTACAAGGCTGCGACAAAGAAGCAAAAGTACGAGAGGATCTACGAAAAAAAACTGGCCACATCTCCGGAGCAACTGTGTCGAGGTTACGCAGTGGAATTCGAGACCTACCTACAGTACGCACGTGAATTGGTGTTTGAGGAACCTCCAGACTACCTTTTCTTGAGAAGACTGTTCCGCAAGCTTTTCAAGACTTACGACTTCGCCTGGGATTCTGTCTACGACTGGACCCTAATGAAACAGAAGCCAGCAGCTCTGTCCTCTTCTAGCAACGCTGCTGGTGGTCACCATCAAACTACTGCGACTCCTGCTGGAGGTGGCTGCAACAATAACAACAGCAGCAATCAACAGCAGATGTCTATGCTGCAGCAGGGTGGTGCCGATAGTCAACAGGTCGCAAACTATCGTCGGCAATACGTGGAGGAAACGTTCAACAACTCGGGCGTTGACTACGCACAACAGGCTGCTCAGGGAGGAGCCGCAGCAGCGCCATATAAGGATCCTAACGCCAGGTTCTGAAGAGTCCTCCTCTTCTCCTTCCTCTTCACATTTTCCTCATTCCACGGAAAATCCTACATGTGAATGATCCAATGCCTTCTGCATTTACTTTCTTTGTGGTACTGTAGTTGTTTTTAGCACTTGTCACTTCTCCATATGCACCCATATTTGCACGCATTTGTTGACCTGGCCTTCGTCCTCTGTGCAGTTAGAGAACACGTGATGTGTCCTCTTAATCGCAATGTGATTATCTCACTTTTTCCGCGTGGACATCTTGTACAGGCTTTGTTGTCCTTGCGTATTCTCTTCCCTTATTTTCTCTAGGGGGACCCGCACAGGAACTCTCATTACATTGCTGGTTTCTATGATATATACATATTGATGAGGTGTGAATGTGTTTGTGCGTATGACCTGACTTTGGTCTGTCTGCAATTTCTGTGCATTGTGAATTTCACTACCCTGTTCTTGTGGGGTGTATTCAGTTGCGTCTCTCTTTATGTGTGTGTGGCTAGCTAACTGTGAGCGTTTTGTAGTGCTTATTTTGTACTTTGAGTCGTGCCGCCTTACTTCTACTCTTGGTTAAAATTTTAGTCTTAAACAAGACTTCTGGTCAGGTCACCAAGGGTTAGACATAAGAGTAGGTGACCTTTGAGGGCTTTCAAATGGGGCCGGAGAGGTTGGTTGGGGTGATCTTTGCATTTTTGTATTTTCACCCCAAGCAGTAAAGGTTACGGCCGAAGCAGTAACTAGGCTTGCGTGGGATGACTAATCATGGTTGATGTGGTGAGATGGTCTTGCGTTCTGGCGGTTGTCAGCCTAGAATAGCGCTAAAGTAAAGCGGTGTTGTTTTTTTCAGGCCAGGGCCACAAATTCATGGGGGTATAGTTGTCTTGACTTTTTTTGTGAGCGATCGTGCTGGTGTAACGGGGTAGAGGGCGCTCGAGGCGTTTGGCTGCAGCTGAAGGATTCGCACAAAAGAAGTGGGTTTCTACAGCAGTTCAAAATAAGAGGAAACTTGAGGAGTCCTTAGTGTAGTATGGCTGTATTTAGAAAATCGACTTTTCTATTCTGAAATCGTCACTTTCCCTTTAAGGCCCTTAATAGCACGGTAGGCTATAATTGGACTTTATAATCTCTCAAGCACGTAAATTGTGACTGTCGCGGGCTTTGCAGTGAGCGCTGCTTTTTTTATCCACACATTATTAAAATCTACCAAACGAAAATGGGCTTGCGCCAAGACAAAACTTAATTACATAATCGTTTTGAGGGGTCAGCCTCCATTGCTAGACGACCTACAGCGAACTGTCACTTATTCACCCAACATGCGGGGTCATCTTTCAGTCATTATCACCTTCGGTTGCATTTTTAGGATCTACTGAATTTGAAACTTCGACAATGGCCAAATTACAGCGATACGATTGAATTTTTACTCCTGTCACAGCCATATTCAATTTTCAGGATCCAGCACTTCGCTGCGAAGGTTTCTGTACTCTAATGCATTCACTGTCGAGATCTTGGAGGAAAATCAACCACTGTAATGCAGATTACTTATAGTTTTTGTGACATTAAACGCTATCATTTAACCATTTAAGGTGCTGCTCAAGAAATAAAAAAACGTAATTATTTTGTAGCGTTGCATGTGAAACTCAACTAGTCTCTGCAAAACGGTTCGGTGCAATCGCGGTTACCATAACCTGGTAACATTCACCTTTCATGTACATATGAGACCATTATCGAATATATTACCATTGTATTGGTACAACATCATCGGGTTATGCATCTATTTCAACTTGTGTTGTGTAAATCTTGTATTGGATCGCTGATAGCTTATGCCATTGTTGAACCAATAAGCAAAGTGCACACCGCCTTCGTGGGTCATTCTAGAGGCTCTGTTCTGGCAGGTGATGTTAATCCTGAAAAGCGGTCAATCACGTGAGAAACTTGAGAGCTGAGACCAGAGAAGGTGATAAGGATCAGCTGACGGTGCCTCACAGACACCGCAATTCACATCTTCACCGCCACCACCACCAGTCACTT